AGCGTTCGTGCCTCAGTGCTGGAGCAGCAGGCACTGAGTAAGCAGGGCCAGCACATCTCTGAATGTGCCTCACCACTGAGTTCTTCTTGGAGGGGTGGAAATCTGCTGCTTCATGCAGGGAAAAGTTATGCAGACAAGCTGTGTTTTGGTGCCTGGTTTTGTGCAAAACATGGAAATCCTTTCCTGCCTGGTCTCTTTTCATTCTTTTTGCTGTCAGTCGTTGCACATGTCATCAGTGTCTGTGGAAAAGACAGCATAGTCAGGGCACAAACCTACTGCAGCCTCCAGTGTGTGAAAAGCAATATTAGCTTAAAGATTTTCACATGAGAACTGCTGGTGATTGATGGGACATACAGTGCAGTCATTAAAACCAGAAATACATGTCTGCTCTGGAACCCCTCGCTGGTGTCCAGGATTAAAAAGACTGTAACAAACTGCATTACTGGTGCAAACATGAGCAAGCCGTGGGTTTGTGCTGGAAGCCTTGTTTCTGCAGCACAGTTCAGCTTACTTCAGCAGCCAATGAGAAGAGAATTTGTGCAGCATGCTTAGGGTGGGTTCATCCAGCCTGGTGCAGTACCCGGTGTGCTTTTATTTGCATCCCTCTGAGCTAGGATGCAGATGACAAGGTGCAGCCCAGCAGACTCCAAACAGCCAGGTGTAATGCAGGTTTTTCTACTGGATTTAAGTGTGCTGCCATCAGTGCTGCACTCGAAACAGCTGGCTTTGTTGCACTGCAAGCTGCTGTCACATTAGCTAGTGTCAGATGCCAGCCATTTACAGTATGCGCCATCACAGCATGACTTAAGTTGGCAACACAGAGTCAATCACATGCCAGCAGCCTACTGTAAGGGTGGGGGAGTGTGTGGAAGGAAAGGGGGAGAAGATACTCTTATAAAATCTTTTAATGATTTATTTTTAATATCCATTTTTCAAGCCTTGGGAAGTGCAGTCCATATGCTTTTCCCTCCTGGCTGTAGTTGGCAAAGAAGCTGACGAATATGGTCCTTCAGACTCCTTCCATTTTGCGAGGAGCCAGAAAATATGGCTATATTTAGCACGTTACCAAGGCCAGCAGCAGAGTGTGTTGCTGGGTGGTGATTCCCTGGCTGCAGGCTCGCGTGCCACCCGGGACAAGGTGGCAATGCACCTTCCCTGGAGTCAATGCTCATGCTAAATTAACAGCAACAAACTCCTCCAGTTAAAACAGGATGGCTACACTGGTCCCAGCAGGCTCAGCACGCTGCTCGCTGACACAGGTCGGTCTCTGAGCACTGTGCCCCTTCCTGACACATGCAGCGACCTGCTGCAGGTGCTAGGATGGTGCTTTTTAGTGCAACGCTCAGCTTGGAGAGTGTCTCTGCAGGGCACTGGGGCTGTCCTGTGCCCTGTACTGAGCATTGGATGTGCTGGAGCCACAGCTAGTCACTGCAGCAAAACTGGGCCTTTTAGCATAAAGATGCTCACCTGAAACTTAGGGGGCTGACTCCTGTTGTATTTTCTCATATTGTATTCCTAGGCCACCCACGTATAAAATGGAGTTGTCCTTATTTGTCCCCAGCCCAGTATCCACACAGCAGATTTGCTACCAGTTCCCTGTTGTTTTCCCTGCTGTGTTGCAGCTGGTACTGAGAAGTGAATAATGGCAGTTCCTTTGTCCTTCTGGCGGCTTTCGTAGAGCTGAAATTGGTCTTGAAGAGTGTATGTGTTGCTGAGAAGTAGTGAACTGTGGGCATTGTGATAGAAGTGTAGAAGGGATCACCCCTACCAGTGTTGGAGTTCAGAGGATACTAGAGGTGCCCATCACTTCAGAGCAAGACATCTTGAAAGTTGTTTCATAGCTGGATGTCTAAACTGGGAACATTTTGTGTCACCATCACATCATCAGTTCCTAAAATTCATTGTCTGAGAGATGAAGAACCTACTGTGGTGTTGGAGAGGGCAACCTGACTCAGCTGTGGCTTCTAACCTGTCCTGGTGAAATGCAGTGGTTGATTATGCTCAGGATCAAAATGATGATGAGAATGAGCTAGATTGAAGGTGTGGTTTTGAATCCAAGTGCAGCGGTGATTCATTTAGTCTTCCTGGAGCCCTAGAAGGCCTGACTGACAACCCTGCTGCACTTCACAGCCTTTGCTCTGCGGCAGCATCTGCACAGCTCTCAGTTCCTCGCAAATACATGTCCTCATTGAAACCAGTAGCACTCTGTGTGGGCACTGCTTTCTGCTCACAGCTTTGTCTGCAGGATCAAGGCCTCATGCTGTATGTGGATTTTTAATAAAAACGTCCTGTTTGTAGAACCCCCTGTTGGAATTAAACAAACTCTGTTTTGAGAAAAAAGTAGAACGAAGCTTCACACCAAGCTGGGGTGGCTAGTATCAATGACATGCAAAATTTCAGTTGGAATAGCAAAGTCCTTTTCAAGTTGAAGAAGGCCCTGTAAGTATTGTTTACAAAAAATAGTAGCTCTTTTTTCATCTTCTCCATTCCTGCAGTGTAGAAACATCTACACAGATTTATTCCAAATTTGGTAGAAATTAGTGTTTTCCCAACCCAAAGCACTTGTGCCAAGTTTCAACCAGGAGGAATTTCTAAGGCTGATGCGTAAGCCCTCGAAGACTGGAGCTTAGAACAGACCAGCTGCCTGGCCATCGGACAACCCGCTGCTCTGCGGGGTCTGCTCCTGGTCTGCAGCAACCTGAGCAGCCCCGCAGAAGTTGTGGAGGTGAGACGCTGCAGATATGCTCTGAGCCTGAATGCTGGACTCTTGTTGGGTCCCAGGTGATGGGAAGGGCTGTGGAGGGACCTGATGCCATGCAGCTGGAAAGATGCCATGAGAAGGATGACCCAAACCTACCTAGCACTGATGAGTCTCCTTCCAGATTAATGCAGTTATTTACCTTGTAGTAGTGCTGGATTGTCTGAGCACCAGCCAGCTGTGTGGTGCCATTTTACCCTCACCTTACACAGATGTAAGAAAGTGTGTGGTGATGAAGATTCATGTGCTCTGGGCCTGTGAGCAGTTAACTCACTGCTGGGGATCTGGGGCTGTTAGATTGCTGAGAAGCCAAAACAATAGCATTAAAAAGCCTCTTTCTTTTTGAGTTGGGTTGTCAGGAGCCACTGGGCTCTTCTAGGAGCAGGGCAGAGAGTTTCACTCCGCAAAGGCGGGCTGCTGAAGTTTGGGAGTGTTTTTTCCTGTCCCAGTGGGTTTAGACCATCACTTCTTGCATTTAATTATTTGCCTCTAAATAATAACAGGGAGCCAGGAGTTTTGTTTAGCGCTCTGATCTCCTTGGAGAAGATAAAGGAGCCTGTTTCTCATGATGCCCCATTGTACAGCCCCTTTCACGCCGCAGATGGGCTCTGCAGCCCTTTCCCCAGTGAAGCTGTTATCCTCACCAGGAAAGGGGGCAGAGGAAAGCACACATAAAGCTTGCAGATCTTCGACTGCTCTCCAGTGACCTGCCCCTCTCTTGGCGTGCTGAGGAGCCTGTCTGGGGGTTCAAAAGCAACCCCTGCAGCAGTGTCAGCTTTGTGCAGTGGTACCCAGACTGTCCAGCGATTCCACCTGTACATTTGTACAGGCAGATACAGATCTTAAAAATCCCCAGGGGAGCATCCTGGATGCAGGCAGGGGCCCATCCCAGAGGGTTTCCACCAGTCTGTGCCCTGGGTGCGGTGGTGTGTAATGGGTGTACCTTTGTGGACCTGGTTATGGGATTACAGCTCTGCTGTGTGTGATCCTGCCAACAGGAGCAGGTATGTGGGGTCACCCGATGTGCCCCGTTTTTGAAAGCAAACTTAATATATTGAGACCGAGAACTCAGTGTCCGGCCCTTGAGGAGAGTGCCAGGGACAGGCTGGGTAATGGACGGTCCTGCTCCTTTGCTGGCTGCAGGAACAATTATTAGTTACCTGTCATGCAACAGCTCTGTGGTCCCCAGGCCTGGCCTTGTTTTATTAGGCTCTGAATAGCTACAGCAGAATTACTTCCTCAAAAAAATTCACCAGAAGTTATTTATAAAATTTACGCATAAAGTTGCATGAAATGTTTCTTGTATTCTGTATGCCTCTGTTTCTTGAGGAGGGAATACACAGAGAAAGGGGGGGGGGGGAACTATTTTTCAAGAATTATTTCATCTTAACGACAAAATTTGTTACTAGTTTTCTGTGTTCAGTGGACTGTTGGTATTTATCTTCCTACGTCTACTTGCAAACACTATTAAAGCAAGGCACAGTTTATAGATGTTTTTTAAAAGTGATGGTCTCAGTTGATTTGAGGTGATCTGTAACATTAGTGATCCTTTGCTTTTTAGGAGCCACTGGCTTCCCTAGTGCTTATGTTTATTTGGCGGGGGGGGGGAAGTAGTCAGGGATGCAACATACTGTGGCTTTTAACAAATGAAAGCACAAAGGGGAAATTGTTTCAGTTCTTCCTCCTGTGACTACCAGTTCTCAGCATCTCAGTACATGCATGTTGAAGATCAGAGGTGCTGCTTTACAGAGCTGTCGTCTTAATGTTTTACCCAGCCCAGCTGGGGAAGTGGTGGAGACAGTTTTGTTTCTCGCTGTCTGGTTGTCAGGGCCAATTAAGTGGTCTGGTGTTGGGAGGGAGGGGAAAAACAACCCACACAAGAAAATGGGGAATTTCTGTTGTTGTTTCTGGAGCTGTTGCCACTAACTTCTGAAAATGCTGGTATTTGTGTTAGCTTTTTTTTTTTTTTTTTACAACAATCATTTTAACATCAGGAAGCCTAACTTTTGGGTTTAGCTTGATAGTATTCAGTTAGTGTTAGAGCAGGAGAAGTCATGTTGCTCTTCTCTTCACCTCAGTATTGCACTTCTATAGAAAAATCACAAAAGAGGCACAGTAGCTACTAAACTGCCTCCACCTAGATGTTTGTGTTGTTACAGTAACCCAAACAATCCTTAATTAAATTTCTCTGGCTGCCCTGAGTGTTACATTCAGTGAAATGCTGTTTCATTATGTTTTTTAGGGCCGGTGTACCCGGGAGAACTGCAAATATCTCCACCCTCCCCCGCACTTAAAAACACAACTTGAAATAAATGGACGCAACAACCTGATCCAGCAGAAGACAGCCGCAGCCATGTTTGCTCAGCAAATGCAGTTCATGCTACCAGGCGCGCAGCTACAGCCAATTGTAAGTTACAGCAATGAATCGGGGTCACGCTGCTCCACATTTCTTTCCTGTCTCCTCGTGGAGGACCCAGCCCTGTGCTTTTGCTCAGGTGGTTGGTTGTGCTGCACGGAGTTGGGCAGCATCTTCCAGAGGGATGTCTGATGCTACCTCTGCATCTTCTTGCAAGCTGTGGCTCCCCTTTCCTCTGACAACTAAGGAGCTGTGAGATTCAGAGCATCAAGTGGAACGGTCTTGCCACCAGGTGGATATTTGACCAGTTAATTCATGTACGTTCCAGAAGTTCCAAGTGGCTCAATTCCAATGGATCCTATTTTGGATAGCTGTTTTACATTGGGGTGAGGATGCTGGAGTTCTTCCACACTGTGGCAAGGGGCCAGTTGTGTCCCTTGGACTAGATGTGTTGTACTGGTGGGCTAAAATTGGGGAAGATTAATCCTACCCAGACCTTAATACATTTTTATGTCTGGGAGTAATCAGTGAAATGCTGTTTCATTATGTTTTTTAGGGCCGGTGTACCCGGGAGAACTGCAAATATCTCCACCCTCCCCCGCACTTAAAAACACAACTTGAAATAAATGGACGCAACAACCTGATCCAGCAGAAGACAGCCGCAGCCATGTTTGCTCAGCAAATGCAGTTCATGCTACCAGGCGCGCAGCTACAGCCAATTGTAAGTTACAGCAATGAATCGGGGTCACGCTGCTCCACATTTCTTTCCTGTCTCCTCGTGGAGGACCCAGCCCTGTGCTTTTGCTCAGGTGGTTGGTTGTGCTGCACGGAGTTGGGCAGCATCTTCCAGAGGGATGTCTGATGCTACCTCTGCATCTTCTTGCAAGCTGTGGCTCCCCTTTCCTCTGACAACTAAGGAGCTGTGAGATTCAGAGCATCAAGTGGAACGGTCTTGCCACCAGGTGGATATTTGACCAGTTAATTCATGTACGTTCCAGAAGTTCCAAGTGGCTCAATTCCAATGGATCCTATTTTGGATAGCTGTTTTACATTGGGGTGAGGATGCTGGAGTTCTTCCACACTGTGGCAAGGGGCCAGTTGTGTCCCTTGGACTAGATGTGTTGTACTGGTGGGCTAAAATTGGGGAAGATTAATCCTACCCAGACCTTAATACATTTTTATGTCTGGAGTAAGACCCATTTCACTGCATTTGTCCCAGCAGAGAGTTGTGCTAATGTCACAGCCCTGTCACTTGTTTTTCACAGTAATGCTGTTTTATACTAACAGCAGGAAAGATTTGCTTCTCTTCAGGTAGGGAGGGAAGCCTGTGGGAGACGGGTGTTTGCAGAGCAGGTAGTTCAGAGAAGCCTTCACTGCCTGTCCCTGCTGTAGCCTATCGGTTAAAACAGGTTTTCAGGCTGGAGAACCCTGTTATGCCAGGGAGAGGATGGCTTGTGTCTGCTGGCTGGTGTATCTGGGATGGGGTGACATTTGTCAGCTGAGTTTGAGTCTGTCGCTATGTGTATTTTAAGAAATGTCAGAGGTCTTGAAGCAGCTTTTTGGTGCTGACATAAATAAGCTGCACGTTTTTAACCAAGAGCCTAATTAGGAATTCTCCATTTAAAGTCGGGGCTGAATGTCTTTCCTGGGGCAACATGCACTTGATGTGCAGTTGTTGGGTGAGGTTCCCCATGCTGTGCCACACGGGAGGTCTGGCTGGATCCCTAGGACAGACTCTTCCAGCCTGAAGATGTGCAAGTCTGTGTACCAACCTGCACTTGGCCTCTTGGTATCCCGCCTACAGCGCCTGGCTCCTCTGCCCAAATGAGGCTTCAGACTCAGCATCCCAGCTTTGACAAGCTGGAGTGTCTCTGGTTTATCCTCACAAGAGACTGGTGGAAGGTTCTTCCTTGCTGGATGCTCTTGTGTTGTTTGGTGTAAGAGCTTGCAACGATGCTGTGTTTCAGGAGGGAAAGCTGGCCAGTGTCCCTCCGTGATGGTGCTCTACCACCATACCGGGGCATTTCCCCAGTCTGGCGTGTTCCTCCTGTCTTGTGAAGGCTCTTCCGTGTTCACCCTCACTCTGGTCATCCTGCGTGTGTGTTAGCAGCTTTATCTTCACCCTGCCATGTATGTTAGGGAAATGCTGTTTATTCTTCCCATTTCGAAGATGGAAAAGTGAGGCAGAAGAGAAAATGGGCCCCAGAAAAAAATCTTTAGTTGCTCTGCGCCTTAAACTCTAATCTGCTGTAATCTTTGCACCTCTTTTTGTGGAGTTCACTTTTCATGAAAGTACGTGCGCATGAGAAGGAAATCCTGAATTCCCACAAAATGTAGCACTGGTTTCCTAGTCCTGTACCAAAAGCAAACCTTTCCTGTTTGGGGTTTTCCTCTGTGGGGAATTCACAGTGGATGCTCTTTGGCTGGCTATTCAAAACATCTTTGGGATTTCCTCTTTGGAAAGTTCCCATCTTCCCATTTTGCAATCTTGCAGGTCCAGTTCACTCCTCCTGCAATTTCACTCCTGCCTTTTAAATTGCCTCTGAGACTGAATCTGTCGGTTTGTCTGGTTAGTACTCTCATTTCAGAGGTAACCTTATCTGATGAGAAAGGTCTCTGGTTTCTAAATTGTGCCATGAGAGAGACATGGGCAAAGAAGAAAAATAAAAATTTGTTCTGCAATGACTGCTCCCTTCCTGCTTTCCCACACTTTGTTCAGAGTAAACGAGCTTTTGGTCTAATTCCTGCTGCCCGACTTGCTCCACACCAATTTCAGGACAAACAAGAGATTGCTCTTTCACCCGCCTTTGATTTCCTGAAGATGCTGCCAGTGGAAGCAGGCTTTGAGAATTTTTTTTCTCTCTAAATGAGAAGGGTGGGGCCTCCTTCTGGCTACACATGAAATTCTTCAAAGCAGAAAGTATTATATCAGATGCAGCAGCAGAACAAATCCCATGTGATCAGAAAGCTGATCAACGGGATGCCTGCTTAATTGGGATGCTTGCCAGAGATGAGATTTGGATCAGCGTGCTTAATAGCTCCAAACAGTAGCTGAATGCTTAGACATTTTAAAGTGCGTTTTCACCAGAAAAGCTATGGTGTTTAAAAAAATAAAAAAAACCCAAAACAAAACAATTTTCACCAGAAAAGCTACGGTGTTTAAAAAAATAAAAAAAAAAAACCCCAAAACAAAACACCAACAACCAACCAACCAAAAAAAACCCAGCACTTGACATAGCAGCTTTTCACCACGCTTCCTGAAATGGCGTTGAATGTGTCTGTCTGTGAGCTTGCATCTAAACATTCACCACCAGATCTTCTTGCACCACCACTGACATCCAGCAAGAGCTAATCTTCCCATTGAACCAAGAGCCAGGACCCTGATGATGGCTGTTTAATGAAGGTGCTGCTTGGAGAAGAACCATGTCCCAGCTGGGCTGCCTGCTGCATGCTGCTCACGGAAGCCTACTAGGTGTGAATTAATGGTTGCTAGTGTGAGCTTATTTCTCTGAAGTCGTGGTTGCTCTCTGATGTTGCTGCTAACTGTTCGTGCAAAGCTGAGAATCACGTGAATGTTTGGTGCCCGTGATGCAGTTTCAAACAGACTGCTTCGTACAGCACTTTAAAACAAGTCAGGCAAGGACGTGGAGCAGACTATTTGCTCAGCATGGTGTATTTGTCCGGGAGAGACCTTGCAGAGACCATGTCGGTGCCAAGTAGGAAGACTCTACTAGAGCCTTGACTTTTGAAAGTCCAAACTCACCTTGACTGCTGGCTTTGGTTGAGCTGTGCTGGAAGCTCTCTGCGTTGGTTTTGCGCCTCTGTCTCTGTTAGACTGTGTAAAAGTCAGGTTGAAGCCCCATCCCTGGAAACATTCAAGGTCGGTTGGATGGGGCTCTGAGCGACCTGATCTAGTTGAAGATGTCCCTACCCACGACAGGGGGGTTGGACTAGATGACTTTTAAAGGTCCCTTCCAACCCAAACTATTCTATGATTCTAAGGTGAATAGAGCTGGGCTCTGGCATTGATATGGAGAGCCATTTTGGTCAATGCTGTGTCTGGTTTCTCAGATACAGTCACTTTGAGCCATGTGTGCACCAAAGTAAGACCACCCAAAAAGTGCTGCACCCTGGGCCTGATCCCTACCCTCTCCATTCTGCTTTGTCCCTTTGCAGCAGTGCGAGACAGACTTTTGGAGCTGGCCATGGAGGTGTTTCAGCACCGGCTCTAAATTGACCTGGTGGAGCAGGGCAGTGGCTTGCGTGGTGCTGCCCTGTTAGCTGTGTCTGAACAGGCAGTTGGATAGAGCACGGCAGTGTTGACACACCTGCCTCTGCACTCCTGCCCTGCAGCTGCCTCCGCTGCTGCCCTGGGAAGTTGTTTCCTCTCTCTGAGCTCGCTCTCTTTTCAAGCTCTTAATCTTTTCTTCCTGTCAAGGTCTTCGTAGCCAAGACTGTCTTGACAGCTCTGAGTTACCCATGCTCCTGAAGACAACCCAGACTTTGACCCAGCCCTGTGTCCCCTCCTGGGCCAGCGGGACCCTGCTGCTGCCCCTTGGTGCTGATGGAGGGATTAAAGCACAGGGTGACCAACTCACTTGACCAGTGACGCTTGGAACAAGTGCTGGAGCAGATTTCAACAGTGTTTTGGGCATGCATTTGTTCCATGCAGCAAAAAACTGATCTATATCTCAGCCTCTAGTCAAAGGCACACTAGGAATGAATAAACACACGTACCCTGGCCAGCCGGGAGCTGGTGTCTGCCAAGAGGCAGTGCTGTGGGGCATTAACACCTGACTTTTACACTACAGTAGCCCACAAATGAGAGATCCTTTGAGCTAGGAGTGTGTCTTTGCGGTCTGACTGGGGAAACGAGCATCTGTGGTGATAGGTAGCTGGATGCTTTGGCCGGTTGGATTCACTCCAGCATGTTCAGCCTTCATGTTAGAGGGGTGGTTTTACAGCCAGCCCCATGCAGTTGCATTGGAGGGGAACACAGGTTTTTGCTTTTTCTGAACAGCATCAATTATGCTTTCAGTATCAGGGTCTTCAGCTTTTTCAGTACAACATCTTTATCTTCTACATTTCTATCACCAGACTAATAAAAGCTGCCGCTGTTTTTTGTGTGTTTTCTATGTGTAGCTGCTTAGCAGTGACCTGTCTCCCCTCCTTCATGCCATCAACACCTCTGTATTTATATTGGGTCTCTCATTTTCAGGCTTTCCCTTTTTAGGGTCTGAGGTAACTCAGAATCAACACTTCCTGGCTGAGACAGCACTTGTGTTCGACAAAACACCAGCCGCTCCTCTGCCTTCCTCTTCACACCTACTATGTGTTTCTTCTCTAGCTTTAGCATGATTTCTGCTACTAAGCAAATTGAATGCAACTTCTAGTTTGTTAACAAAATCAGCTGTTCCAGGTTCTGTCACCACCAGTGGTGACAAATGCCCCTCCCTGGGACCGTCCCTTCTCTCTGCTCACACCTTTAACCCAGTGGCTCCTGTGCTTGGGGTCTGTGAGGAGCTCAGAGATGTCAGAGTCCTTGGCAGCGCTCCCCCCAGATGTGTTCTCACAACAGCCATTTCAGCTTTTATTTATTTATTTTAATACTCAGTAAACCAGTCTTGTGAGCTGTTACTGGTCTGAACCCCTCTGCTGCTGCACTGTAACCTGTTTCTCTCTGCTCAGGACTTACTGGTAGTGTCTGCATGTGCTATGATTAATAAAAGGTAGTTTGCAAGGAAATGTGCCCCTGTATTTCCTGAACTTGCAAGAGCTTTAAGGGGGGCAGCAGGCGTAAGTGTTGATACTTTCAATCCGGCTGTTTTGCCCTAGAGCACACCAGCAACTAAGCTGACTTTTCTTTTTAGTGTACAGTCATAATATTGATCTATCAGGTCTCCTGGCTGGATGCGATCACAAGAGGTAGATGAGGAGGCATGTTGAGGAGAGCAGTGCTGTTTGGAGTAAAAATTACAGTTGGGTTCTGGCTGCAAGGAAGAAACTCACTCGAATTCCCTCAGGACAGGCCTGGCACAGGGGACCTGCACAGACGTAAAGGGAGGAGAGATTTGGCTGGCAGCATCTTTATTACTGGTACTGATGCATGAGCCAGACTGGATTTCCCAATCCAAGACAGGCAGTTGGGGCTGGCAATGAGCGCAGCCCATCTTTTCCCCTCATCAGCCACAATAAATACAGAGCTCCCTGATGCCAGCTTACAAAGGAGCAGTTTTCAGTGCGCTTAGCACAGTTCAGACTTAAAAACTCCAGTGCTTCTAGGTTTAACGTGTTGAGCGAGGTCTGCTCGTTTTCTGGCTGTGCATCTGCTGAAAATACCTGTGTGGCTGCCAAGTGTCAGTCCTCTGCCCATGGGCAGGGTGTGGAGCAGAGCTGTCACTTTCAGTCATCGGCACCGGGCGAACAGTTCAGGTGGGCAGAAGAAGCAGTTGTGAAACCTTGGGAACGTGGCAGCAGATGCCAGGGCATGGAAATGGGTGAACAGCCAGCGGCAGTGATAAAAATCCATCCTGCTCCTTCATGCACCCCTCTGCAGGTCTCCAGGATCATGGGTACATCCTCAATTGCTCTTCATAAACATCCTTCCTCCACTCTTCTTCAGCTTGGGTTCAGATCCCTTAGCCCTTGCCAGTCGTTCCTAGTGAGGAGAGGGATTGCTCTTGAGTGAACAGCCTTGGAGATGGGGACTGTGTTTCAGGGACAGGACCTGCCTCCCAGTTTGTAGTGGCTTTGGTGGAGGGGCTGATATATCATTTCTTCGCGAATGTTTTGCACCCCTTCCCACCGGTTTCTGGTGAGTTCACTCAGTGTGAAGCATTGCAAGCCCCTAGCCTTCCTCTCTGGCTGCACAAATGCCCTGGCATCCTCTGCTTGAGCAGTGGGAGGAACATCTCCCCTCTGTCTCAGAAACCAGCTAGGTCCTCGGGCTGGCTCCTGGTTGTGTTCGAGGCCAGGCAGGGGAAGCCTGCCTTAAAGGATCTCCTGAAATTCTGGAGCAATGTCTGTGCCACACCTACTCTGTCAGGATACCCAGGACTCCTGCCGTATTGGGTGCTGGAAACACATAGGGTAGATTTGCCCGCACATTTGTGCAAGCCCCATGTGCTGCAAGGTTTGGGCTATTACGGGTATACAAAACAAGTGCTGAGAACGTGTGTTGGGCCCCAGCATAACCCTGTGCAGACTGGCCAGGCTGGAGAAACTCCTTAAAATAGCATTTACAGTGTGAATGGTGGCAGAAGTTCAGCAGATGCCACTGTAATTACTAGTGCTCACACAAAAGAAAACAGTCTAATGGATGCTGCCTTCTCACTAAAGTGTTCAGGGAGTCACAGCATTTGAAGATCCTTAAAGAACTTTTCTAGCAGCAAAAGGTGTAAAATGTCTGGGAGCCACAGAGAATTGAAAGAGAGAAGAAAATGATTTAATAAAGGGCCGTGGACTGGAGGATCTCTGGGTTTAACGGTTAAAGTCTCCCATCAGCTGAAGTGGGGCTTGACTTAGACTCAAAAGAAGGAAAATTGGAAATCCCTCCCAGAGGATTATCTGGTTCTGCTACACTTAAAGCACCAAGTGCCGCTGATTCAGGAGGCCATGTCTCCTTGTTGTGGAGGAAAGTGGGACGTGTGCTGGCAGTGACCTGTCATCCCCTTTCCCATCAGCTCAGGAGCTGCTTGCTGTTACTCTGACCTTAGGAAGGGGGTATCATTAAGTTAAATATAGGTTAGGACAGCTTGGCTGGTGTTACTGTGGCTAGCTTCTTCCAGATCACAAGCAGCAAAGTGTTTCCTAGCTTATGAAAGTACTGGGATGAAGATGCTGTCGAGAAACACACTGTCCATGTGTGATTTCTTTTAGAAACCCACAGGACTAGAGGTACAAAAGTAAAAGCAAGGAGGGGATGAGGTGTGTAGCCAAAAAAATGCCCCAGGCCATTTTATAAGCACACTTGCATTTATTGCTGAGTAGAGGCTCTAGCTACCGAGGACGGCATCACGTACGCCTGCAAATGTGAGCAACTTTAACTGTAACCAGGAGTTCACAGTGGAGCAGGTGACAGAAGGGAAAATAAAAATAGTTGCAAGTCACAGGCTCCTTTCCCCAGGGGCTGCTTGAGCCCCTGCTACAGGAGCAGGAGTGCTGCCTTGCAGGCTCTGGTCTTCGGGGTGGGCAGGGGGGATTTTTCATCAGCTGGAATTGGTTTCATTCCCAAACGCACCTCAGATCTGGTGCTTTAAAGTCTCACAAACTCCCTGGCTACAGAGGCTATTCACAGACTTTAAACTAAGCACGTGCTTAGGAGCTTTGTGTGATCTTGCCTGCCTGGCAGAACGGCAGCTCCTTTCCCAGACCGGTGCTGCTGGAGCACTTCAGGCCAGGGAGCTGCTCTGGCCACCGGCGCTGAAGCTCTGCCGCGCTTGCAGGGCCTGCCGAATGCGATTTAGGGATCAGAAGCAGTCAACATCTTTACGGCTCATTGTTCTGTCTCCTCATGGGACATCACTCCTCACAGCATAGCTGAGGTCCTGGACCTCTTGCTGGCCTACCTGGGCCATCTCATCTGGTACGATCTGTCCATGGCTCTTCCAAGCCCATGACCCACCTGCTCTTGGCAAAGCCATGAGGTCTGGCACATTGTAAAACTAGTGAGTTTGGTGTCTTCTTGCTGCCATTCACGTGGAGCGTAGGCTCGGGATACTCCTGCAAAATTGCTTTTGCCTGAAGACTGTTGGCAGTCTGAAACAAACCCTAGGTGTGCAGAATGCTAGACCTCCAAGTGTACTGTAGTAGAGATGCCTCGCCTGACTCTAAATGATCCCATTTGTCTAGCTGAGCCACACTAGCCACGATAACGTGGAGCTCAGTGCAGGCTGATAGTGAATTCAACCACGTAGCTAATGGAGTTACGTGCTTCCAGGTCCTGAAGCTGCAGCTTACCTTGAGGTCTCTGTACAGCATTGCGGCGTAGACATACAGAAGCTGAGACATTTATTTGGGAATGAAAGTCTGTTTAATTTGGGCCTGCCCTAATTGCTGGCATGAAATCCTTAATTGTGTCATTAAACTATAAAGATCATCAATATGCTTTGATCTGGCAAATAAAGATGCCTTGTGTTCAGGATGAGTCACAAATCTGTGAGTCAGGAGAAGCGAATGGATCGCAAGAAAATGGCGATAAATGAATAGATTGGAAAGCACAGCATTTTGATGTTGCTAATCAAATTGTCTAAAAGGATTGAAGTGCTGCAAGGCTTTGATGGGTAATCCATGACAGAGCTTTTTAACTAATACTTTGTTTTTCCTCTTTCTATATACAGACAACGTTTCCTGTGACTCCATCGCTTGCAACAAGCCCCACGATGGCTTTTAGTCCCTACCTGAGTCATGTTTCTCCTGGGATGGGCTTGGTTCCTGCAGAGCTTTTACCAAATACTCCTGTCCTGGTTTCTGGAAATCCTACTGTTACAGTACCAGGAGGCTCTGCTGGGCAGAAACTGATGCGTACGGATAAACTGGAGGTATTTGGACATCTGATACGATACTGCTGACGGGAATGAACAGGGCATGTGGGCCCAGCTGTTGCTCTCTGCTAGAATGACCTGATGTAGCACAGTGCAGAGTTTAACCTGCAGCTTTCCTAACACAGGGCTGCTGTTCTTTGCTTGAGCAGACTCTCACGTGGGGCCTGATCCCAAATCCTTGGAAGTCACTGGAAATTTGGGAGCACTCACTCTTCTGATTTCAGTGGGTGTTCGAGCAGGGCTGGGATTGTTGTTCTGTGTGTGTGATCTGCCATGCTTAAAAAATGCAAGTGGATGGTCTGCCATTTAATTTAGTTGAGTGGGAGATGTTTTGGAAGTAACAGACACTTCCCTTGTCTTGAGGTGGGCTTATTGAGTTTTAACAGAAAGCTTTAAGCATTACACTGTTGGGAATGCTGGGTACGGGGCATTGGAAAAACATCTCCTCCCCCCCCAGTTGGCTGGGCACGCTGTGACTTAGCGTTGGAGGAGTTTTAAATGTCTTTCAAACCCTAAGCAGAGGCTCTGCAGGAGATGAGGGCTGAGGACCTGAATTCAGAGGCCCCTGCAGGTGTAAATTGTAACACAGGAAGGTAGTGGAGAAGGGTGTAATTTCAAAACGCATTGTTTTGTGTTATGTACTTTATATTACCTTGCTGATTGCTTCCATTCTCGCATGACCTCTCACCTTTCCCCACACTCAGTCTGATAGTGTGCTGGTACGTGATCTACACCACCAGCTATAGTCCTCAACAATTTGTCTTAGTTCCTCAGACAAGGAAACCTTGCAGATCCGTTTTGTGAAACCTTTTTCTCTGCCTTTGATGTGTAACTTACGAGGATCTGCAAGATCTTTGTAAAGCTAGCAGTTTTGGTAACACCTTAAGAACACATTACAGTGTAATCAAACACACTGTCATGTAACCCCAGGGTCGGAGTTTTGTTGTGGAGGGCAGTGAGACTATGTGAAAGAAGCTCCTCGTATTTAAGAAAAGGTACTTGTTGCAAATAACAGCAGCATGCAACATTTAGAATTAAATGTCCTATCCAAGAGTGTGCTCCATAACAAATAGATAATCCAGCTGAGATACAAATGGCAGTTTTTAACATTTAAGCTTTAGAGGCAGGGGAGGAATCTTGAGCTCCAAAAGTTTTGGCAAAATGACATTGACTTCCTGGGGTCACTTTCCATTCTGCACAAATTCTGTACTTCACTTGCATTTGGTAACGTTGTGGGGTTTTTTCATACCCTGAACTAGTTGTGAGTCGCACCACTTGTCTTTGTGACTGTTGGTATATGTGCTACCCAAGATGAGCATGGATTTAGAATACACACATAGTTTAATGTGGCCAACTGAACTGATATTCTGCGTTCAAAATACTGAATGAAGAGTAACTTGATGTCCTGCTCAACAATGTGACTTTCTTTTAAGGTTTGTCGAGAGTTTCAGCGAGGAAATTGCACACGTGGTGAGAATGATTGCCGCTATGCTCACCCTATAGATATTGCAATGATAGACACAAATGAAAATACTGTTACAGTTTGCATGGATTACATCAAAGGTCGATGCTCTAGGGAGAAATGCAAGTACTTTCATCCCCCTGCACACCTGCAAGCCAAAATCAAGGCAGCTCAACACCAGGTGAACCAGACAGCTGCAGCTGCAATGGTAAGTAGAGCTATTCTCAAGCTGTATTTCCATTGCTAAGAGATTTCATTTGTGTCATACGTGTCGTTTGTGGAAAAGTAGAGTGCTTTGTAAATGGCTGACTAGAGAGCTGAGAGCATGTGCAATATGAATCCCATCTCTTCATCCTTTCTATGTGCTCACCACAGCATGAAGACCTGAGTGGCGTGGTACATCTCACCAGTTAAGGACAGGGTGGCGAACCCTGTGATTTTCTGTTGTGACTTCATGAGGTGACATGAATGCAAATACAGCAGCAAACACCTTCCCTGGCTAAGTCATAGGTGTCAGTTTAGCTTCCTCAGTACACAGTGAAAGCAAAGAATGCCCATCCCGTAATACATCCTTTGCAGGGAGATCCTGGCCTGTTGAGGTCAGTAGCAAAATTTCCACTGACTTCAAAGCAGACACAGACAAGGTATCAGTTGTTGAAGCATAGCAAACTGAGCAGCCTTGTGCCTGATACCTTTGCTAAGGTTTAGTGAAATGACAAGACTCAGTCCAAAGGTGACTCCTGATCTGTTTGATAACTTAGGACCTGGTAGAGATGGTCCCACCTGCATTTTAATTTGAATTGTGATTTCTACTACCTACAATTTAAAAAAGAGCCAAGGAAGACTTACCAGTTCAAATTCCTAGCTGGAGTAAATGTTTGCCAGTCTGTTGAATTCAATTTAATGGCACCTGTTTATTCCAGAGATGAGAGAGCTGGGGCTGTTCAACCTGGGGAGGGAAGAAGAGGCTCAGGGATCTTACCCATGTGTATAAATTCCTGCTGGGGGAAGTAAAGAAGATGGAGGCAGACTCTTCCCTATGGTGCCCAGTGAAAGACAAGAGGCAATGGGGCATAAAATGAAATATAGGAAATTCCATTTAAACATAAGAAAAAACTTCTTTACCATGAGGGTGGTCAAACACTGCAACGGGTTCCTCCATCCTTGGAGATGTTCGGAACCTGCCTGGTCACAATCCTGAGCAAGCTGCTCTCGTTGACCCTGCTTTGAGCAAGGTGTTGGACTAGATGATTTCCAGAGGTCCCTCCCAACATCATCCATTCTGTGATTTTTTTTTTTTTTTTGGTTTAAATAATATTAAAAAAGGTTCTTGTCTCCTTTTTGATTTACAAGTAAGACTACTAAAATTTTTATAAATATCTTTTTTTTAAAGACAGTAAAAGAGTTTGCTTTTTGTTCCTGGTGAAATGTAACGCAAAAACAAGAAGATTCTAGAAATTAAACAACTGCCCTCCTTGTAGCATCAGTATTACCTGAAAGGTAATTTGAAGAACCAGTTTATACTGCAGTATTTAGTTGTCCTGCACAGTTTGTTTATTAGATTTCTTACTATTTTTATTATTGTTGAAACAACAGCCCAGGTCTGTTGAAAAAGAACCTTCTGAAATGAAACTCTTTGGTTTTTTACAATTGAATCTTTACTTTTTCACTAATTATCTAGGACACTGCTACTTAACCAAAGCCAGTGCATGTTTTATTCATGCTGCTGGCTTCTCTTAAAAATGTAATTAACCTTACTTGTATGCTGTTAACTAGAACCTTTAAAATATTTATTGATGGCTTGTTGCATCACCCCTGCTACCAAAACAGCTTACATTATTCATTGACTTTTCAAGGTTTGATGCATTTACTATACCTGTTGAGGAATAAGACTTTAATAAAGGGAAGAATGGTGCCCAGTTTTCTTGGATCAAAAAACATATGCTAGACCAATGGGTGTACCTTCTAAAATAGATTTGGAATGACTTGAAATCTAAATTCAGAAGGTATTTCTGAGGCACCCAATCTTGCAGTTACTTGACATGCACAAGTAGTAGCTTTACTCACTCCTGCTTGGCTGAAGCCTGTGCAGCACAGTCAGATGAACTGGGTCAGGCTCAGTCCCCAGTTCAGGATGGCACTTAAGCATGTGCTTGAACCTCCCTTCTTTACCGGTGGTCCTTCCCTTGCCACGAGCGCTCCTGCTGACCTCCGCATGGCGTGTAGCTGCAGAATTAGGGCTAAAGCCCAGCGCAAGTCCACCTGCAGGTGGTGATCCCCAAGCGCTCCTCATCTGCTGTGCCAGCCGCAGTGAAGATGCTCTAGAGCATATGTCCCATGATGATATTTCTTTACTTTTAAAATTTACTGAGGCAAAATAGCTGACTAGCCGCTAGGCCAGGTAATTACTCAGCCGCCCCATGTTGTGCATGCCTCGTCTTTTTAATATATTGTATAATGCATTCTTTTTTTTTTTTTTTTTTTTCTTTCTCTTCGCTTCCCCCAAATGTTGCTCTCTTGACACACCTCTGCTTGCTGTTTTTGTCACTGTGCTTGATCCCCCTCCCCGGCCCATTGCCATCATGTGCTCGCTGCCTGCTAATTAAGACTCAGCCAGCTGTCAGATCACTGAAGCGACCGCTCGAGGCAACCTTTGACCTGGTACTTGGACCTTTCACCTTCTCGCTTTGCATGTAACCATCTTAGTCTGCATGAAAGCCTTCCGCACTTGGTCTGTTGTGTTAGTGCCTGGGGAGACTGCCCATCCCGGCCAGAAATGTTGCAGTGTCCATTCAGACATGCCGATTCTGCACCCTGCACACCATCCATTAACCATCTGAGCTTTGCCTCCTGAAACCCGGATGCGTTTTGGAGGCAGTGAATAATCTTGTGGGGAGGCAGTGCTAGGTTTTGAGGTGTTTTTCCAAACAGCAGCAGCTTTGGAGTCGTGAGACACGATGTTTCGGTGAGAATTGAACTCATTAGGTCTGCAGTGTGTTGGATATGCCAGAGGACTGGGTGGTGCAGGACAGATCCAGCAACTTTTTGTGGTATGCCCAACAGCACAGCCGTGCCTGGCAGTGTCATGCTGGTACTGCCCTGCAAAATGGTGTTCTGTGCAATGGGCACAGCACAAATTTAGGACCTCTCCAGTCCTGGCGGTTCCTGACATTAAGAGAAGCAGAGGGAGGGAGCTAAGCAGCACCCATAGAGATCTGTGCTGGGAGCTGAAGCGGGTGCAGTGCAGGACTTTGGTCGCGTGTTCAGTAAGCTGGGAAGATGACTGCCACTGCAGCTGGCGCTGTCTCTGGTTCCTCCCCCCATACCGCAGTGGGACAGTGTGTCAGCAAAGGCACCTCGCTGTGCGTGCTTTTTGCTTCAGGCACAGGGTCTGCTCCCCAGGCTTCTGTCTGCAAGCCATCTTCATATAAGCTACCTTTGATTATTTTCTGAGTCTCAAACATGTTTTACCTGTCTTCATGACACTCATAGTGAGGCAAAAGCCATCCTCCCAGTCTGCTGTCAGTCCTGGCTCCATAGAAGACAACTCTTTCCCGTTCACCCCAAATAATGAGGGATCCTATACATCCTACAGAAAAATGGCTCCTGTTGCCCAGCTATAGGGGGGAGTAGGAAGAGTGGACTCGGGAGCCCTGAAGCCTTCAAGTGTTGCTCCCCATTCCCGGAGCTGGGAAGCAGAAGCTGATCTGCTCCCCTTCCCCTCTGAAACCTTGGTTTTGGGTTTTTTAAGTAGTCAAGAGGCTTCCCTGTTGGAGCTTTAGACAGCAGCAGTAGGAAAGCTTGCCTAGGGACCAGCTTCTGCCAGCAGTCATGGAATTACACTGTAAATGACATGACAGCCTCTCCCTGACACTCGTGGCTGCCACAGCCGCATCCCCAAAGCCAGTGTAGGCAGTGACCTGCGCAGTGCCTCACTGCCCTCTCTGAGGGGACGTGGTCTGGCAGAGGATGGGAAGGCCCTTTAACTCCCCTACCCTCCGGACCTACCCTACTGAACAAAACCCCATTAGATAAGTTACTTTTAATAGTCTTCCTGCTCTGAAACATCTGAAGGTTTGCAACTGTGTTGCTGGAATATGTCACCTCCTCGGAACCCTTTGGGAAGGCTGCACCAGAGCAGGATTCACAGTGGTGATAAAAGCGTGTATAATCTTCAGAGGAAACTGCTCAGATTGCTTCTGCTGCTTGCCAGGGAATGGGCGCTACCGCTGCCCTCTCTCAGATCATTTTGTATTTGTCGTGCCTTAGACTGAAGCAGTGAGCCAGGTGCAGACCCAGCCCCTCTTTGCTAAGTGCAGAGGGGTGAAAGTGTGATCTGCTCCCAGGAGATAGCGATCTGAGGGGAACTTTGAGGTGCAATTAAACTGTTTGTTGCAAAGATTTAATCCAGTTCTTGTCTTGCAAAAAATAACAAGAGAGGGTTGTTAACCAGCATGTGGGAAATTTTGGCTTTGGCATGCAGTGCGTTTTTATCTGTCAGTCATGCTGAAAGATTGCTTTCCATGCCATGCAGAGAAGTGGCACAAACCTCTCTGTTCAGATGCTTCTGTTCCAGCAGAAATGTGGCTTTCCCAGCCCAAAAATGGGAGGGTGCCTGGCATTTTTGTAGTGGGAATTGTTTATTGGGATCAGTGCAGGCTCTCACATGGATACTAAAGTGAATTAACCCTTTCACCAGTGCAGATGGTCTGATCATGTTGCATAGGTTGCATACCCATGTGCGCACACAAACACACGGGCAAAAAAGAAAGTCGGAAAAGATTACTGTCAAAGGTTACTGCTACGTCTGTGATGGTCAGAGCTTGTCCAGACAGAAACTGCAAGCAGCAGGATGAGGTAAACTCACCAAGTAAGTTCTTTGCTACAAGGATTTAGACTAGCTCCTGTCCTGCAGCGGGGAGGCACTTGCTACAGAATTCAGTAATGTCAGAATGTGGCGAGGAGTCTCCCGTTGCCTTTTGTAGGTGCTGCAGGACACGCTTGGGGGATTCCTTCAGAACAAGGACATGGTGCAAGACAGAAATGTCTCCCTGTGAGCTGTTACAATTCCTGCAGGTCCTGAGACCGTTACAGAAATGCTGGCCCATTTCAAATGAGACACACTTGTTTGCTCCAGTGTCCCTGCCAGATCCCTGTGCAGGAGTCGTGTTGGCCCAACTTCATCACGTGCAATTTTAGACACCTCTCCCAGGCATTTGTAGATAGACCTTTCAGTGAGTGTGCTCCCAACTTGGGGCTCTTACCTCAATGCAAGGGCTGAAGAAGTGGTGAAGCCAGATTCTTCTGTCCCCCTGGGCCCTCTTGCCCCTTGATATCTGAAATTAGACAGGTTGGCAACAGGAGGAGCACATCTTCAGGGCATGCTCCTGTATGGATGCTCCCCCAGCTGCTGGGATGGGAGAGGTGATCCACAAGGCTGTGTCAAACCAGAAGCAGACCAAGACGGACTCCTGGCTCCTGTGCCCACAGGAAGGCAGAGCTGGCCTTTAGGTTGCACAACAGCTGCTGCAGTGTGCTTGTTTCTTTAGAATACTCTGGAAATGTTGCATTTATTTGTGTTTCTCCACCCAGCTGCTGTTCAGGGAGCAGTAGTGGGACTGCCCATAGCTCCTTTCCCTTGCTCCCAAGGGGCTGTAGCAGGGTACGAGGAAGGGTGATGTTAGAGAGACGATGGGGTAGACCATTGTGCCTTGACATACCTATGGCCTATTGGTGTTTGTATGCTCCCTCTGACTGCAACGCTGGGCTCAGGAATTGTCCTGTAAAGAGACAGGACATCACGGCGAGGTCTCAAAGCCTTCAGCTGTTCTGCTTTTGGCACTGCCATTATGGAATAATGGGCATTTTGGGGTGGTGACAGCCTTTGGCCAAGAAGCAAGGAGTCAAAAGTCCATTATGTGCCTGGCACAGTTGCTTTGCTATAATTAATAATTTTTTTTCTGAGGCAGATTTTGGAAGCATCTGAAAAAGAATGTTTTGCAATCATGCACAGTAGGGAGCATGAATTTAAGCAGCAAGTTCTTCAGTTACTGTAAATCTGTAAAACACCTCTGATGTAAGTGGAGCTACTCCAGTCTCTACAAGCTGCAAATCTGTCCCGTGCCTGGGGGAACATTCATGTAGCCATCATTAAATAGGCAAGATGTAGATACAGTCAGATTTAACGTAGATATCAATGAGGGCTTCCCTAGAAATGGAAACACTTAGATCTTTACCTAAAAGATCTCATCCTAAAATACAGATCTTAAGCGAAAGATTTTGGTGTCTGTGTCTGAGAATGTTGTCCCATGTTCGACTGCTGTTTTTTGGTACTAGCCAGAAGAGATCTGGAAAGATTGAGTCCTAATGCTGGCACTGGATGCCTGCTAGCATTAGCAGAGGATGTGTGCATGTCTGAGGGCAGTTTTGCAAATGCAATTTCTTCTTCTAATTTTCTTTTTTTAGTATTAAAACCACCCAAAAGCCACCATGTGAATAGAGATAGGATGGAGTAATGTTTTGCCTGGAAGTATCTTGCTTAACATTTCTCAGATGAGCAGTCTCCTATAGCAAATTAAATTTAAAGTGAAAGCTGTTTCTAGATGGTGACAAACTGTTGCAAGCTTTCACTTATATTCGGTTGTGTGTTGATCTTCATAATGCTTTAAAATCTCTTTACTTGTGTCCTTTCTTCCAAGTACTGTGTGTTTGTAGCCTTAATCCTTCATTAGCTAAACCTCCTCCATTACCTACCCTTCACTGCCACCTATTAAAAAAAGAGAAGAGTAATAACCCTATTTTTCAGCCATTGCTTTGCTACATGATATAGAATAACACAACTAGGCAGAAATGACCCGATTCTGCATGACTTCCACGTGCGTAAATCTCATTGACGTCAATGGGAGCGTTATGTGCAAAAGGACTGCAGGGCGTAATTAAAAAGGACCCTTTTCTATCACAATGTGGAGAGAAAAATGTGGTTTCTACTTGGGTACAATGAAAAGCTGTAAATCATTAGAAACATTCCTGTCTCCTAAGAACCTGACATACTACTTTGATGTTGAGACATGCTTGGGTGAATGATGAGTAACACTGAGAAAAGTTCCTGAGTTGGGTTAATGCTTTTTACCAAGTCTGATCATGAAACAGGTTTGACAGGCTGGAAGAAGCCTGGTGGTGTGATAGAACAAAAAGAGAGGATTTGCCTGATAGCAAGGCCCACCCAAATCTTGTTCGAACACTAGATTTGTCAATGGCTTTTTCCATTGTTAATAACGAGTGAGCAGTATTTAACTGTTGGAGGCCACCTTTTAGAAATTGGGAGCAAGTCCAAATCTGCTGGTGGTGAGCTGTGCCACTGCTGCGAGTGGTGAAGAATCGGGCCTGTTCTTGACCAGGTTGCTCAGCCTCTCTACTAACAAGTGGAAATGCATTTTACTATGAATGTAACGTTATGCGTGTAATTGGCAACAGCTACAGCTTTATCACCTGGACACATGGGTCGGCTGCACACAAGCGTGCACGTTTCCACACGTGCGCACATACACGTAGGCAGGTATTGAAACAGGCGAAGACAAGCATCCCTTTTTTTCCATGGCATTTGTTGTTTATGCTAATCTTCTTGTTTTTAGATAGTCATCTACTATATTTCTCTTACCTGGTATTTTTTTTTTAAATGCTTGTTGCCTGCAACTGCTCTTCGTAGTATCCTGTCCAGGTGATCACCTCTCCCCTTCCTTCTTCTCTTGCTTTTTTTTCCTGTGTGCCCAAGTCAGCCCTGCTGAAAAGCTCCCTTAGCATCCCTCCTCCTTCTGGACTCTGCCCCTGGTACATTTACTAACTGCTTACCTAGTGAAGTTGTGGTTTCACCTACTACTTCTACTGTGATTTAGCTGCTCTTCTCTTTCCTGTCTCTCCAAGTTGATACAGTTGCAGGTGATTTGCAGCCAAGACCCCCTATTATTTATTGCATGCTTGATCTACATCTGGGCCCCTTTCTTTACTCCACTTGTCTTTAATGACTCCCTTATCCACAGGCCCTGCCGCCTGGTGCACTTCAACCTTTACCAAAGAGGCCAGCACTTGAAAAAAACAATGGTGCCACCACAGTCTTTAACCCAAGCGTTTTCCACTACCAACAGGCTCTAGCCAACATGCAGTTGCAACAGCCTACATTCATCCCTACAGGTAAGTGTCTCCTTGCTTTCCCCAGCATTGTAGTTGTCTTTTTAATGACCTAGGCATTGAGCTAATGAGATTTGTAATAGTCCTTAGCAAAAGCATATCAGTGTGTAGTCTCCTGTTAAAAATGGATGAAAAGTTAACGTTTGTTGTTTGACTTCTTTTTCCTTCACCTACTGCAATTCAGAGCTTTTCACTTGTAAAGATTCCTTCTTAGCCTTTTTTGTTTGGTTTTGGGGTTTTTTAAGCAGTCCAACTAAGAAAAATGTCTGCATGTTTCTTGAATTCGTACTTTCTGTTTCTCCTCCTTATGGTTCAACTGGTTAATCCCAAATTAATTCTTTGACTCTTGCGTAGCACTCTACGGACTCATGTTAAAATGTCTTGTGGACCTCTGTGCCTGCTCACTTGAGGCTGCAGGTATCTTTCTGAGCTTCTATCTCAGTGACCTACATATTCCAGCAGCCATGATGTTTATAGAGGGAACGGCTCGTTTTTAGTAAATACAAATTACATAATCCTCTTTAAAGGCATATATTCCCTCTTGCTTGTCTTTTGACCAGTATGATAGCCTAAGCTTTTTAAAAGCAATTTAACTCCCAACTTTTATTGTACCTTTAAGGTCTCAGAGTAAAATTGAAAGATGCAGTTCAGTAATTCATATAGGACTCAAAATATTGATGTGGCAGATGCAACTGCTGACCAGCCAATTAACCTCTATTCACTGCAGCCAAATGAAAAACAAAACCTGCTTAGAGTAGTAAGTATTATAAGTGGCTGAATTAGGAATATTCCAGGGTTGATAGCTCATTTTTTAGTATCATTATTATCATTGCAGAGCATCATAACAAAACGAAGGCCGGATGTTTTTAATGTTTAATGCTGTATTCACTTGCCAGATGATATTTACAAAAATACACAAAGTGTTTCTCTGGGCTGGCCCCTCGAGGTGAACACGCAGCGGACCTGGACCTTGGCCTTACCGTTCCTTGGGGTCAGGGGAAAAGCTTTAGAGACAGTCCTATACTGAGACCAAACTGTCTCAGGTGTGAGTGTGGGTCCAGAGAGCTGGGACCTAAACCCTGTGCTCGCGTGGCCTTTCTGTTATGAGAGCACTTGGAGACACTCAGAACTCAGCAGCTGCCAAGATGTCTTCCAGGGAAGTAGAGTCTTGTATGGAGAGACGGAGGGAGGGACTCCAGTAGTAGCCTCCCCCCTTGTGCTCTGCAAAGTGCTCTTGGAGGGGATGGGCTGAGCTGACCTTACCACAACTGTTAGGTGCCAAGTGAAATACTTCTTCAAGAAACACTGACACCTTTGAGAATGCCAAGTCCCCCAGCTGGCTACACGCTCCTCTTCCTCAAGGTCGCAGTTGCCAAAGTTGACATAAGGACATGCATTTCTGATGCAAGCACCATAAATTAGCTTTTACCCACCACTTTCACTGTGCTGTTGTGCCCTGTCTCATGGCAATGAAATTACGCACAGGGCTGATGCGTAACAGGTCTATTTGCTGGCACCTGCTCTTGTCTGAGGACATTAATGCTGGGCAGAGCAGCAAATTTCCAGCCAGAGGACGGATCTCTGATGAATTTACGTTACGCATCCCCGTTTTCCCTTATGCATCAGTCTGCAGATCTGGTCTCAGCCTTTGCAGCACTCTGGAAAGCGAAGCAGGGAAGTGGCACGTAGCAGCTCACACCATGGGGAGGGGAAGCGAGCTGTTGCTTTTCTTAGTTTCTCCTGTTCAGTTATTGAGAGATCAACATCATGGGTTGCCATGGGGGGGAAAGTCAGGGTGTCTATTGAAAATGGCATCATCACTACAATTGTTTCAAGTCCAGAAAAAAACTGCCTCTTTCAGCTTAAACTAGAGACTTTGAATCCCGGTTCCTGTTTGCAGGAGTAAATTGCTTTTGGAAAATCGGTTTTAACATGAGTGTGACATTCCTCTAAGGGCAATTTGTTTTCTGCTGACATGATCAGAAAGAAATCAACACACCTGATACCAAAAAAACCCCCAAACAACCCTGATTTCTAGGATAGATCATATAATTTAATACCAGGGTGGGAGAAGAAATATATTCTCTACTACCCAAGAATTCAAGAATTAATTTGGTTTGCTATGATCTCTTAAAACTGAGTTTAAACTATTTATGTACCAATATGCAGAATCTGTTTGCATGTGCTTAAATACTGAATGCTGCAAAGAGAATACCTGCTTTTTAGTTAAAGTGATTTCTAACACTGAAGCTTCACTAATGAAATATCCCTTCTGTTCATCTTTCCACGCTTCAATGCATGGTGTGCAGGGTCAGTTCTGTGCATGACACCCACTGCAAGCGTTGGTAGGTTTTTCTACACAAACTTCTCAACTTTTCCTAATCTGAAAGAGACAGCAAGTTAGTATGCATCAGTGAGAACCTGGGTGGCTGAGTGGTGTGACTGTCTATCCGCTGTCTTCTTTGAGGCTTAAATGGTTGTATCCCTTTTAATTTCTGTGCAGTGCACTGTTTCGTGTGACTAATAAGAGAACACAAGATGATGTGTTCCCACCCCTATTTAGTTCCACTGCAGAGACAAAAATTTGTCACTTAAATGTCTTTACAACCCATTTAAGTCATCTAACAAAAGGAAATAGCAATGGGAGGATCCTGTTGGTTTATTTTTTTTGTATCAGGCATCAGGTGGATTAGAGTTTGGATTTTCGGTTGTCCTTCTGAGGACATTTTAGGAGACTGGTTTAATAAAGGCGCTAAGGAGGAACACATCTGGCATCAGCCCCTCTGCCAGAGCAGGGCGCTGCTTGTACAGCAAGAGAAGCAGGGCTTAGACCGTGGACTGGCTAAAGATTCATCTCTTTAGCGAAGTGTCAGCTGTGCAGGTACAAGGGACTGTAGGGAGGTACTGCTGATGGTGCATATGGGATGCAGTGAGGCGGCAGGGCTGAGTATATGCTCGTTGCTGCTGCAGGGATCCAGTATGTTCAGGCTCAGCATCTGGGTCTTACGGGGAACCTGTGCAGGTCTTTGAGGGACCTTTCCCTCTGTCTACAGCTGCTGGGTAGACAGGTACACAGCACGGTGGGTGAAAGCTGAGCTTTCATCCTCCAGCCAAGGTTATACAAGACTACTAGCATCCAGGTGTGTGCCTGCTTCAGCCAGAGGGAGAGAGGCAGGAGCCCTGGGGAGGGTGCAGGGCTTTCAGGGAGTAGGTCTGAAAGCTTTGGCAGGAATGGCTAAGCACTCTGCTCTCAAACCTCCCCATCCCTATAGCGCAGGGAGGACACACCGCTTGCATGACGGGGAGCTGAGCCCTTCAAACGCACCTCTGCCTGTAGGAAACCCCAACCCACATCACATGCTCCAATGTTCCGTGGCTGGAGCGTGCCCAGCCTGCAAGCACGCACACTCCCCACCAGGGCCGGCCGTGTCTGCTGGGGTGGAGGGGAAGGCAAGTCTGCTTCCCCGCCACATGTTTGCGGGGATGGCCGGGCCTTCCCGCAGGCTCCCCAGCCCCGCAAACACCCCCCTGGGTTTGGGGGATGCCTGGGTGTGCCCCGGAGCATCCCCTCCAGCACTGTGCTCTGCGGCACGCGCAGCTTCAGGAGACTGCCAAGCTCCCTGCTGCTGAGTTGTCCTTTCAGATGCTCTTTCTGCAAATTGTAACTGTTCAGATGCATTCGTGTATTTTTTCCCTCTCAGCCCCCTCCGCTCTCCACCCCCCCCCCACCCCACAAGAGGGGAGTTTTGCCAAATCCTCTAGCATTAGGGTGGAAAGGAAGCACGCTGAATTTGTACAGAGAGAGCTCGGGCTGCCAGCTGCTCATTTGCCGTGCCTCCAGCTCTGTCCCATGCCGAAACATCGTCCCCGCTAGAGAGAGGCAAGAAAACCCGGTGAAAGGGCTGCGGCAGCCGCTGCAAAGTGCATCATGTACCTCTGGTTGCTGGCGGGGATGGGGCGGGGAGGGAAGGGGACAAGCTTTCCCAGGTGGGCGGGAGGGTGCGCTTGCCAAAATGTCCCCACCCAAAGGAACGTGCACTGGCTGTGTCTAACCCCCCACAGGAGCGAGCTGACGTGGGCTTTTGCTAGCACACCCGCCCTCTCCCCCCTTTGGAAATTTGGCCCTCGGAGTCTAATACATCATTGTTCTGCTTATAAATGTACTAAGTGTTGAGAATGTTTTGGTTTTTTCCTTAATTATAATTGTAATTGGCTTTTCCCCTTCTCTCTTGTTTATTTTTTTTCCCAACGCTGTCTTGCTTTGCACTGTGATTGCATGCTGCGCCCCGATGTGTCCTTCATGACGATGTCACATGGCTTGTTGCTGTGATTCCTGCCACGCCCCCAAATCCACCACATGTTGCCATGGTTACATAAAAAACAAACAAAAAAAATATATATACGCTCCACCCTCCCGTATGTCGCTTCCATGGTTCCCTTCCGAAAGTGCCCATGATGCACGGTGCTACGCCCACCACTGTGTCTGCAGCAACAACTCCTGCCACCAGCGTCCCCTTCGCTGCAACAGCTACCGCCAATCAGGTTTGGCCCTTTCAATGGCTTTCTTTCACGTGTTCAGATCTCGAGGACTGGGCGAGGGCCGGATCCTGCGCGGGGCCGAGCGCCTTCCTGACCCACTCGGCTCAGCGCAGGCTCGGGCGCGCAGAGGCAGCGTGTGTGTGTGTGTATGTGTCTGGGGATTGGTGAGGGGGCACCAGCCGGTCCTGCCATGTGCGGGATGGACGGCGAGCCCGGCCGGAGTGTAGGGATGGGCGATTGGCAGGGGTGCAGGCGCTTCTCCAAAAACAGCACCCCCCCCGGGTCCTGAAAAACTGGGCTGTAAAACTCCTGACCATGCTGTCACTCAAGACCTGCAGCACTTCTGCTTTCAGTCTCAAGCAGAAATACCACCCCGAGCATCCTTCCCTGTGGTATTTTGGCATGTCCTCTCCTGGCTGGAAAGTGGAAGTGAGAAAACAAAGCGGCCTCCCCCCACTGCAAGATTGGACTCTAAAAACAACCAAAGAAAACCCCAAACCAACCAAAACCCAAAAAATCAGGGGAGAGGCTATGAAGTCTGAAGCTTATTCACACCAGTAACATCACCCATCCCTACAGAAATGACTCTGGATGTGCAGTATGTGCCGTTGTAGCACTGCCATAAGTGTACAGGATTTCATGCATGTCTGCCGAGCCATAATTCTCTCCAAAACTTTCCTCTGAAGATACTGAGTTGTGATGGCTGCTTCCGCACCAGTCCTGAACTGTATATGCACAACCTGTCCTAGTGATGCTTCCTGATAATTTGGTGTGCCACAACTTTTCCCAGTTAGACCAGAGACATTTCAAACTTTTTTTTTTCCCCCCCAATACTAATTTTAGCATTTTTATTTGTCATGCTCTCAGGTTTAGAGCTATTGCAAAGAAAACGGGGTGTCACTTTGTTCTGTAGGAGGCTGTTAGCCATGCCAAATGTCAGTAATATCTCAGGGGGCATCCTCTAGTCTTTTGCTAGTGCGAGGTCACGAGGCTTTCAGTAGAAGTATTGCCTGCATAAGTCCTAGGCAGTGTTTTACTGCTCGCAGTAGGGATTGCTAGTCTTTTTCTGGGCTTTGTTGTTATTTTCAGGTAGAGCAGGTCTTACTCATACTCGTATTGGTCATGAGAAGAAAGCAGAAATTCCTGTGCAGCGTTGCTCTGTGGCTGTATGAGTCCTGTTTCAGCCAGATAGTTTTAGGGCATTTCTTGTCTTACTTGTAGTCTATGGAGTTAAAATCCCAGTACAATCACCACATACTCCACGAGGCATCAGTAGTGATGCAGCTACGTTGTACTTAATGTGTGGCAAAATAAAGACATATGGGGAATGGATCCTGTTCTATAAGACACTGATGTACTTACTAACCTGATACTGAAGACAGAATGAGCAGCCTGATCTCAAGACAATGTTTTAATGTGTTGTGTTCTTTGTTTTTTTTGCTGTAGATATCCCAGTTATCAGTAGATGAACTGAGTAGCAGCATGTTTGTTTCACAGATGTAGAAGTTCTCGATAGAACAGTAAGTTCCTTTTCAGTATTTCTCTTTATGGTGGATTGCTTTGTACAAGGGCACTGCATCCCCCAAAAGGGGGGCTGGCTCGGGCAGAGGGGCCGAGCCTGCGGGACCCCAGTGACTTCACGCTCTGCCAACTCAACAGAAATTCAGCAGCTGCAGCACAGATACGGACCAGCCCTGTGGTTTATAACAAGCTGTGTTTCCTTGTGTCTCAAATACCTGTTTTACCGTGTTTGCAGCCTCCCTTCTTGCATCCCCCTGAGTCTGACGGCTGTGTTTACAGGTTACTCTTGCTCTGCACGGCTCCCAGCTGCCTGCAGATGCCTCAGGGATTTGCGCTATTGATGGCAAAGACTGCTCTGGTAATGAGTCAGCTGAAAAGGTGTAACTTCTCTTTTGCTGTTAGTGGCATATTTCCTTTCCTGGGGTAAGCAGGATTGGGTCATCATCAGCTGCTGTGCATCTGCAAGGCTGTCTTGGTCTGAGCAGAGATCTGCTGTTCAGCTGCAGTGGGGGCCTGGCTCCTGGTGGGTTTCTTCAGAGGCCCTTGTATGTGTTTAAGACCAGGATGAATGCCACAAGCAACATATCCTTCACCCTACCTGCAGATCCTGGGCTTCTCTAGGCTGCTGGGTTTCTCTGAGTGGGAATGATGGAGGAGTTTGTCCTTTTTTTTGACTTACAGAGTATTATTTCACAGCTGTAGCAGCAGTGTCATTTTTCCATTGCTTTTCTTTGTGAGTGTTAGCTGATGTTCATGAGAGAAAATCCCTTGAGGGTTTCAGTTCATCACTGTATTTTTTTACCCCAAGAGAGTAAAGAGCAGTTCAGCCAATTCAACAAGAGGTCACCAGATTTTCCCAATGCAGGCCATTTAGTATACACAGATATGCAACCCGTTTCTTCCTTAGGTCGCGTATTACAGGCAAGTGCTTAAATGCTGGAAATTAATTTGGCAAGCAATTCTCTAATTATATCTTTAGCAATCGACAGAAGTTACTCATCTTGGTGGTGGCCCTTATCTCTGCTGACTTTAATAAAGTACTGTATGTATAAATGACCCACTAACTGTAGCCATGGACCCCTGTTCATGTAGGGGTGAACACCAAGCTATCCCTGTTAGTGAAAATGTGCTACATTACACAGTGTACTGCTCTTCCAAACAAAAGACAGACAGACAGACGTGACACCTGACATGTTAGCCCATTTCCATAACACATGCAAAACAGCGTGTTCCAGTGGAAGGAGATCATTTGCATTGGAAGAGCCTCATTCTTGAACTCTTTGAGATTGTTTTCAGCATTTATTTCAGGAAACTTCTTTTTTGTGAATCCTTTTCACTTTTGCGTGTGTGTGTGCGCTTAAACTCACACTGTCAATAGTTAGTGATTTCAGACTAGGCGAGAACATTCCGTGGGATATATTTCTTTAGTAAGTAGGGAGCACGGCACAGTCTGTCGAACAAAGCATCGTCCGTGCTGTTAAGGACCATGAAAAACCTTTGCTTGAAAGAAGTAGGGTCAACATATTGAATTTGATGGGATTTCTTGGGGATCAGGCTACTGGGCATGGAGAGGGTCTGGGTCAGACAAGTCGCCTGTTCTTCACGAGGGCAGTGTGAGCACATGCGTGAGCCACCACTCTGCCAGAAGCACTTGTCCTCTTAACACCTCGCAGCTGCGGGACATAAACCACCTTCGGAGGCTGGTAGAAAAGGGCTATGTCCCCCAGCATCCCCAGTGCTCACAGACCCACCAGCGGCCATTTGCATGCAGCAGCATGCATGTTTTGATCCCATTCCTGGGTTGTTAACCTCCGTGTCTGTGCATAAACTAAAGGTGAGCAAATCTCTCGGGGACACATCGTTTCATGCTACCACCCAAGCATGTGAAATTGCATGTGCTCAAATGTTTTGCCAGACAAGGACCTTGGTTGGCACTCTGCAGTGCTGAGGGGCAATTCCCAAAGCTGCTCTGAGTGGGAGTTGGATAACTGAAACACTTGCTGCTCTGGCAGACGTTTTTCTTTTCCTCCATGGTTGACAAGGTCCTGGTAGCCAGTCTGGCTAGCCTAGCTCTGCAGGAGACAAGTGTTGGGTCCTTCAGGGGAGGATTTTCACGAGTACATCCCAAGAGAGGCGATTTGCTCCCAGAAGAGGGTCCCCTGAGCACAGGGTTTCTGTGTCTGTGTTTTGGCTCTGGGCCCGATTCGCCTTTGGCTCGTGGCCCCTTAGGATCAGATTTTAATGTGACTATCTGTGGCGCTCTCCGAAGGAAACAGGGAGCTAGCAGGGGTCAGGGATTCCTTTGGCCCTCTCCTTAGTCACTTTCTACCTGCCATCCTGTCAAAAAATAAGACTATTATTCGCCCACCTCCCTCTTCCACTAGTTGTCTTGTCAGTGTGTGTGAAGCGCACTGGAAATGGAAAGCCCTAAGTGCAGATTAAAGAGGATGCCAAGTGTGTTATTAGCAATTTCACCCTAGGTCAGAAAATTAAGGGAATAAAATGTTTTCTCTCTGCAACATACTAATGGCAACCTCTTGGGCAGTGCGGTGAGGATGTAAATGTATCTTATTAGAGTGACTTTTATTAAAATATAGATGTATCTCTCTCTAACTTCTCACTCTTTCTTTGTTGTTGTTTTTTCTTTCCCCTGCAGCAGACCATGTTGAAATTCTGAACAGTAAAATTATGGAGCACCAGGACTTCTTGGTGGGAAGCTGCGCATGGCCTTTCTGTATATATCCCCTCTTCCCTCTATCGTTCTCTACCACCTCTACAGTAAGCCTGTTGCAGCCTACATGTTAACCAAAAACTGATCAATGGGAATGTCAAAAAAAAAAAAAAAAAGCACTATAGAAACAATTAACAAACAGCGCTCTGTTATATGAGATATACAAGTAGAAAATTATAATAGACTTTTATAACACATTACTTTAACACACTTAATCATTTTATGACTACCATCCTGATAAGTGCATCTGCACAGCGGACTGTTGGTTTACTGTATACTATCGATGGATAAATGTTTGTCTCGTTTTTAAAGTGTTATCTTACTGTTTTGTTTACATCTTAGTCTATTGATTTGTTTTAAAGTGTACATCATTATCAACTATACTCAATACCATTTTTTCATTATTGTTATGTCTTAAGTTTTCATATACTGTAGGTTTTATGGGTTTTTGTTCGTTTTTTACTAAAAATGTTATTGTGGGAAACAGGAATTATGTGCTTGAAAAACACGACACAGGAATGTTCTGCCCTTTGCTGGATTTTGCTGTTAATGTCAGCTAAAATTGCTTGTGTTAAATGCTCCTTTTATCTTTTAAAATTTGCCTTCAGATAGAGTCTCCAAATTCTTAGTACAAGTGATATGAAAGGACAGCTGTCATTTTAGTCCAGTTCAGGGTATTTCTTTCAATACAATGAGCTGATTCTGGAAACTTTTGGGAAAAAACCCACAAAAGCCCAGGCTCAGTAGGGGGACAGGAACGATTTGCTCAGACGATGGTAAGCATCAAGGGATTTCTGCAGTTCTGTTGTCCATTGAAGTGCATTCTCAGCTGCAAACGGCGCACAATCTCTCTTGCTGTTCTCATGGTGCAGTCAAAACAAAAAAAAAAAAGGTGGTGAAGTGAGACAGCTTCAGTTGGGCAAAGACTCACTGCGTTGGAGAGGAGTAAATGCCAACCGTTAGCTGGAGTGGGCCCATAGCCATGACTTAGCCCAAGCTGGGTAATACTGTGCCCGGGGGCTTGTCTCCACTAAGCACGCTGAAACATTTCGGCCTGAAATCTTACGTGGCTCTTCTTGAAATTTTGTCAGCACGCACCAATTATTTAATCACCATTTTCCATAAGTGGATTATTTTTTTCCCCATCATCTCTGGCCCTTTAAAGCAAACACAGCAGTAACAAAGCAGGAAAAAGCTCAGCATAAGCTTTCTACCGTAGATAAACATTCATCTTAATGGAGCTCCTGTAGGTCAGTGGATTTATTTTGGCACCTTCTACTTGATCAAGAGCAATGTTTGCCGCACAACAAGGGCTAGTTCTCAATACCTCCTTTTCATACGCATGAATAAAATGATTTCCAGCCCGTGCACCCTGGACAGCCCAGCCTGTCGTTACACTGCGTTAATGAACAATCTGGCTGCAGAATGCATTTTGGTTGAGGATACAGCCAAATTCATCCCTGTCATAGCTCTACAGTATCATTGGCATTATGGAAGAGATGGATTTGCTGCTGTAAATCCACGAACTCCATACAAGGAGAAAGAGAATCGTTACTGAAACGAAGCAAGAGGCCAGCTCCCAGTGTCTGGAGCACTGGCCACCCCGAGCTCACAGTGGTCCTGTAGGGTGCCAAATTCTGACAACCATGTTTTGTTTTCTTTTCCAAGTACCTTGGCCTTGGTAAGAGACTTTCCTTGCCCCCTCTCCTCCAGTGTGAGCACAGATAGTTTGCTAGATGTGTATCTCTACGGACCAGAAGTGATGGAGGGGCATCTAGGGCACAGCCGGTACGTCCCAGAGCAGGCTCTGACCATCTGCCCGTGGAGAATCATTCATAGCAAGAACCTTTGAAGGGCCCAGCTCAAAAAGGCCTTGAGCCAGAAGGAATCTCTCCATTCATTTCAGCAGGCTTTGAACCAAACCCTGAGAAAGGGAAGAAAACATCCCCCCTCCCCTCCCTTCCTTTATGAACCCCGTGTTTTGACAGTCGCTTGTGTCCATAGATGTTCCCCAGCCATCAGTGTTCACAAGCAGCAGCATTGCCTGAAATCAGCGACTCATTTATATTGGCGACCGCATACCTGTTCTTTTCACCACTGAGTTTCTGTTTCCCAAAACCATAACATTGTTAGTGGAAAAAGTGGATTTGAGTACTTCCTGTTTGAAATTATTTGTGTATCAAAAATGGGTTTTGCACAACCTGTGCCAGTGCCTCAACAAAGAACAGAGCTGATCTTCTTAAGCCAGAAAGGATGCATTCAAGCTTGTATGGCTTTATGAGTTCAAGGAGGTTGGAATTTTTTCAGTGCTAAATGGATTTTTGTATATCTTGACACTTTGATGTAACCTCCTATTTTATTTATCGACTTAAACATCTGGCATAGATGTGCATAGAATGTAAACCTAGAATACAGCTGTTTTCATGTCACATTTAAAGCACTGAAAAAAAAAAGTTTAAGGATTATTTTTTATTAAAGAGGTCCAATGAGGGATGTTCAGGGTAGTTATATTAGGTGCCACAACAGTTTTTATATTGCTGGCAAATTTAGAGTTAATTTGTAAATGAGTTTAAGGAAAGAAAAGCTTGAAGCACTAAACTTCACCAAATTCAAAACAATCTCGGCAAAAATGCCATTTTGAGGTAGCACTATTTAAACTAGTTGTGCAATGACTTGCTCTAATTTTCTTTGTTCAAGAAAGAAAAGAAAAAAAAAACAGTCGCCAGACTATAAATTTCCTAAATAGACTATTACAAAGTCACCGAGCTAGTTAGTGACTCTAAACAAATGTCATAAAAGCATGAATATCATCCTTTATTTGACAAGAGATGTATGTAAGTTTGTTTAAATCGATATAATTTTAGTGACATTTTTATAAGCTTCCCACTTTCCATGAACCTATATTTTTTATTTATCCAAAGTTATTTCTCTTTGTCCATTTCTCTCAGCCTTATGCAAACAATATGCAAGAAATGCTGAAACTTGGATAAAACGGGTCATGCAGAGGGAAAATGAAAGCTGAGATTGATCATTTTCACGAAAAAAGGTTGTTAGTAGTTTCAATAAAAAGTACTACTACTAAACTGTAACATAAGCAGACAATAAAAGAGGGATTTAAAATAAAATGGATTCATAAAACTATTAAGATTATTTTTGTTAAATACTTTGTTTTTAGTAATTTGGAACATGATTTCACAATCAGCCATGTTTTTTAGTTGGAAATTTCTAGCTGATGATTTTTGACTGTGTATTTTTGCATCGCGATGTTCTAGTAAACCGTTACCTCCCTGGCCAGCCCGCGCCGGCCCCCTTCCCGAGCACTCCGAAGCGCTTTGTCTCTCTGCCATCCATCCTTGCCGTCTCGCACCAGGCTCGGAGTGTTCCTGAACGGCGGCACTGTCGGGCTTGCCGCCCGCCCCCTGCGCCCCCCGCCCCTCGTGGGTGCAGCTGGCCAGAGGAGGAGACGCGTGTGCCTGGCGAGACGTCTTCTCCACCTCGCGGGCTGCTGGCTGGCGCGGTAGAGTAGCTCTAGGACACGCGGGTACACAATGATTGAGAAACTGGAGTCCTCGTTTTGTTTATCCCTTGTACATTTCACAGACATGAAAATTGAAAAAGGTGAAATTTATGAGGAAAATCTAATTTCCCATTCCTGTTGAATGGATTTAGTTTGATACTGACCTGATTTTACCACGTGCCTGTTGAAGGCCTTAGAGTATATACTGTATGTTAAAGACTGTAATAACTTTAAAAAAAAAAAATAGTTGATAGCCTAATCCAAATGTAAATAGAGCTACAAAACGCATTGTCTAGGCTACAACACATTAATTCATGTCATGTATTTTCATTTCTCTACCATTAGTTTTTAAGGTTTTCATTATTGCTTTTTTTGATATCTTTAGTAACTAATGAATTTGATTTTGAAGGAGAGTTAGAGAAAGTTTAAAATTTTTAATACATGTATTCAGCCCATTTAGTTATATTCTAAACCAACACTGAAGCATGGTAAGGTATAGAATACAGTCCATAACTAGTTTGTATAGTTTACAGTTTAAGAACAAAATTAACTTTGTATGTAACTCCTACAATGATAGATTCATTGTTAACTAATTATATTAAGTTGTTGTTGCTATGGCAACAAAACTACAACATGGCTACCTTTGTATACATTATTTGTGAAATTTTCACATGTAAATTTAAAGTGATGTGTAACAGTATGAGCTTGTTAAAGGTACAGTTCGATACTGTCAGATAAAGATATGATTGAATATTTTTAAAATCCCAAAGTCCCATGTGAACGCTGAATTTGTGTCTTTAAGGTCACTTTTTCAGTCAAGAAGTTTACAACACATGGATTTAGAGTCAGGTTTTATAGCTTGTAGAAATTGTTGTGTGGCAAGGGTTATTCCACAGTATTTTCACTTCGAAAACACGACAGCCTGTATTTACGACGTAGTGACCGGCCCCCCAGCCTGTATTTACGACGTAGTGACCGGTCTTGCTTTCATTTCACGTTCATTCACACGGTGGGAATCCAGAATTAATACGTTTCAGTACTGTAGCTCTGCCTGCAATTTTCTTTTCTCCAGAAATTGAGCACTCACGCGATTACGTTACGATCAGGGCTAAATAATTAAGCATATAACTATTTTAATACTAATTTATATTAGCAAAAACTGTACATAAGAAAAAAAAATATTGTGGAATGACCCCGTAACAGTGTTGAAGATACAAATATGCTGCAGTTAAACTGATTCAGTTAGTGTACGAATGTGTGAGACACACCTTTTTTGCACTTATGTACATAGTCCACGAAAGAAATCCTTGGAACTTATTTTGAATATAAAAAGTCTGTAATAATACAGGAAAAGTTTGTAAAAGAGATAGGTATTACTAAGGCTTTGAAAAGGAGGAGTTTTTTGCTATAAAACTTATCTGAAAGCATGATGTTGCTTTGCTGTTGTAAAAGCTTTGTAGTTTGCCATAGCTTATTATACAGCAGACTGATAACAGGTCAGCTCCAACCTGCAGCACAGAGAAATGGGAAACAGTGCTTAATTAATTAGTAAGGTCACTAGCAAAGATTTGAATTACTTTTTTTCTTTTTTAATCGGCCTACATTTTCAAACACACCCTAGGTCATGTTTCTGATAGGTTGTGTTCTCGGTGAATCCTATTAGGACTGATAGGTCCGTGGCGGCATACACACATTTTTCCTAGCACCTAATCCTATTTCTAGCTGGAAGTGTTTATCTGTTAAGAGGTGACTGTCATTGCAGCGAGTGTTTTAAATCCCAGAGGGAATTTGAAATGTTGCGACTTGCTGATTTATTTTTCTTTTTTTTTTTTACCGTTTTGGGGCAAGGTAACAAAATGGAAGGGACTGATGAGCGGTGGAAGGACAGGGGTGGTTTTGGATTGTCTTGGGCCAGTTTCCTCTGCTGTACGACAGCCGTGGTGTTCATTTGAGAGAGCTACGTGGCAGCGCTGCCTGCTGTGCTGCTGGACGGGTGTTGGGGCAGGGAGGTGGGGCTGGTCGTGGCAGCGTGGCCAGCTTGGTGCTTCTGGCTGGGGTTAACAAGCCCCATTGAGTTGCCACCGAAGAAGAGCACAGCTGTGGTCCCCCAGCCTGCTGAGCAGCCTCTCGGTTCCCTTTCCACTGTGTTGGTGGTGCTGCCAGAGCTCTGCAGTACCGGGGGGATTCTGGAGAAGCTGAAGCACCTGTGTTGACCCATTTATTTTTCATGAGAACAAGTATTTTTTTTGCAAAACCCAAGCCCTAGATTTGCTTCAGAAAGGTCGCTGGTTTTGCCGTGAGGCTGGTCCCAACTCAAGCGATGAGTCGAGCACCCCAGAGCAGAACCGGTGGGTTGTGGCATTCGATGTTGCCGTCTCCCTTTCCTGCCCATTCCGGGGTTGGGGGCTGTGGTGTCACTGCCGAGTGCAAGACCTGCTCTTTGGCCACCGCTGCTGGCACCTCGGAGGTTTCCGACTCCTCGCGATGGCAGTGAGTGCCCAGCCAGCCCGCATTGCACCACAGGGTTTGTTCAAGCGGGTGGTTTGCTGAATCGGAGCTGTAGTGTCGTGCAGTGCCAGCATCTTTAAAGCAGGGGGAAAAAATCAGATGTTGCCTCTCTCCATGGGTGTTAAAATAACCTAGATTTTAATACAAAATAATCAGCTGATTCTAGCCACCACGCTATTAAGGCTTCCCTTTGCTGTAATCAATTTTTGTAATCGAGCTCTTTCTCATTTCAAGGATTGTGAGAGAAAAATATTTTGCACTATGTGAAATGAATCGTAGCTGGTCAAACTTCTTCCGTTGGGGTATGAGCATGATCATGACAACACTGCTAAAATCTTTGCTAGTGATCTTTACTGACATACTCTATCATCAAAAATAACTCTATATGCCTCTCAAATGAGATATTTAAACATGCAAAAATAACACAACTATTAAATAAAATGAAGTTATTTTTCCAAACACACAACAGCGAGAATTACCTGACGCCGAATTACAAGGTTCCAGTTCTTTATTACTGTACACAGATGCTATTTGATAGTGGTGGAAGCCAAATGATTTTGTTGCCATGGCTTTTGTATCCTAGCAGATGAGGGGATGATAAGACCATTCTTAGATTGGATTATGGGATTATTTTTTTTCCTTTTCAATTAGCTTTGTTTTAACTATATTTTTATTTTAAATCATGAAAACGAACCGAGACTCCCCACGCTCTTTATTATACCACCTGACAACTGATCACTTTTTTTTTTTATAATAGAGAATTGTATTTTAGGCAATCACTAAAATCAAAGAGAGAATGTTCTCCTAAATTGTAAATTTTTAATTTAAATATATAAAAACATTTATACTGTACTGTGTAAAGTAGATCTTTGAAGCACATTCTTCTTTTCATAGGCATTTCTGGTAAAACAAAGTAAGGGAAACATTAGATATCAGTTTAATGGTATAGTTTAGAAAATATATACAAACGATTACAGTTAGCCCTGTGGAATTGTAAGAAATTAAAATATCATCGGATCCGGACAGGCGTAGGCTAATGCAATATTTCAGTTCCATAACACGATAGTTCATTCCCTCAACTGCTACCAACAGGGTGTACGCTTCGAATTTATTTTTCTTTTTGCCACGTTATATTGCTGTAGTGCTTGTACGTGCTTTAGAAATGTGCATAATGCTACTCATTTTAGTATGTTACTTCTATATTGTTATTGTTTATTTTTTGATCTTTTAATAAAGTGTATAGAATTCTTGGTTATGTTTTTTATGGATCCATATCTACACATTAATAGGAGTTTACTTTAAAAACTTTTCAAGTTCCAGTTTATTAGTCCCAAACTTTAAAGGTTCTGATGTAAAAATAATAACAAATGAATTTGATTCAATGTTATATCTAAAGTGTAGAACAACAGAATAAATTTCTTTCCAGAAAATACCTTCAGTATTTTGAATTCTGTAGCCAGTGCCTCCTTTTTATCGGATGCATTCGGCCTATCATATTGAAGTTACTAACACAAGAAAGACATTTGTATTTTAGAAAAATAAAAAGTAAAACTTTCCAGATGCTGCCTATTGGTTTCTCTTGTGCCTTAGACCTTCTGAGACACATGTGATGTGGTATGCTTGGTTTGTATTTTTCCATGCTTCCTTTCTGACCCTATCTGTGATGTGATTAGAGAGGAGATCAGAGCTGTGCGTTTGAAGATACCCATGAAGAATAAATTGACTATCGTTCAAAGGCCTGCAGCTTTTGTAGCACAGTGATGTGTGTATTAATTTTTCTTTTTCAGCATTTGTGTCAGATACTGTTTTGAACGTCCCAGTGCAATAATACAACAGTAAGCTCCTTTTGGCAGCGGCCTGGATTCCCCAGCTCTCCTCCAGGTGCCCAGCTCATCCCCAGGCTGCTTTGCCAGGCTCACGCCTCCGGCCGGCGCAGGCTGCGGATGCCTCTCGCCGTGGCCCAGAGCAACTGCGGCTAAGCTTGGTCTAGACTTCTGCAAGAGAAAATTGCTTCTTGCCAAGTTTGTTTGTCCCTTCTGTAATGTTGCATAGATTTAGAGGTAAGAAAATCGCTCAGTGGCGTTGCCACCTTGGTTGCCACCTGCGTGCCAACAGCG